CGGGCCACGTGACCCAGGCGGCAGTGTAGACTGGCCCGGCGGCCGGGGACCCGCGCATGGTGCGCTCCGGTCGGCCCTGGCGCTTCGCTCGGTGCTGTGCGCCCTGGGCTCCCAGGGTTGCTTGGGACCGGCGGTGCTGTCCCCACCGACGTCTGGCCGTCGGTCTCCACACGCCTTGTCCGCGGCCTTCTCCTTTTCACCTCTAGGGCCCTTGGTCCAGCTCCTCCTTTTCCTCCTGCGACCTGAGCATCCCGACCCGGTCTCAGCCCAGCGCTGGCATTCCCAGAGGACAGCGCCACTCAGCTCCCTGTCCGGCGGGGGCGGGCTGCCAGGCTGGGCGGTCTGGGCTGTGCTGGGAGGTCCGGCCGTCCTGGGCCTCTCCCCATCCCGGGCGGGTCTAGCCTCTGGCCTTGGAGCGGGAGACATTTTGGGAAAAGTGGGCATCGCGCCAGCCTTCCCTCACACCCAGGAGCCGGGCAGTGCCCACACGGAGCAGCAGACTCCCTGAGCCGCCCTGACAGGCAGTCTCCCCAGCCCCGGGGGCTTAGCCCTCTTGGGGATCAGGGCGAGTCCCTGTAGGAAGTGGGGGCCAGAGTTTCCCTTGATGGTAGGGCTGGAGGGTGTCTGACAAGTCTGGGTTTGTTTGGGGTCAGGGAACAGTAGCTGAGACTCCTGAGCCGAGTGGGGATGTGGGGAGGCAGCGGCAAACCGTTGACCTCCCTCGCCTGGTCTTGTCCTCTCCCTCCTCCCGGCCAGAGCCCCCCTCCTCTGCTCTGGCTCTCAGATTTCCCTTCTCGTTCTCCTCCTTTCAGTCTCCTTAGTCTTCCTTCAAATCCTCCTCAGTCTTGGTTTCTCTCTCTGCTTCTTCTCTGTCCCTGCAAACCCTCTCTCTCCAGTCTGTCTCTGCCCCCTCCGTCAGCCTCTTCCTCTCTTTTTTCACCACCTGCCCCTTTCTCAGTCTGTTTCTTTCTCATTTCAGGCTCTCAAAATCTCTTCCCTCCCTCTGTTGGTCTCTCTCACACTCTCGTCCTCATCTTGCCCTTTCCCTTCCTTCCTCTTACAGTCTTGGTCTCTGTCTCTCTATTCATCTCTCTTGTCTCTTCGTTCATTTCTCCTATTTTTACTTTTCCTCCCTCTCTTTCCACTTCTGTGACGGTGTTTCTTCCTCAGCTCACTTTCTGTCTGTCTGTCTTATATGTGATCTTTTTCAGTGCCTCGGAAGTCAAGTCCTTCTGCCCGGACTTTCTTGCAATCCTCACCCCCACCATGTCTTCCCCCTTTCCTTCTGTTCTCCCAGCCCCCTCCTGTCCCTCACACCCCTCCCTCCCCCTGTCCCAGGTTTGGCATGTGGGGAATGAGGCCGGAGGGCTCTCCAGGCTTGGAGGAGCCTGGAAAGGAGCCGGGGCTAAGACCCGCCTCACATGTGCGGAACAGCACCGAGCTCAGTGCCTGGTGCAGAGTGAGGCTTAGAGAAGTCTCCACACGTTAAACTCTTAGTTTTAAGAGCTCCCTGAGGGCTTGGTGTGGAGCTCAGCCAGAGCCACAGGGTGCAGCCCAGGGAGAGAACAGGTGCCTCCTCTGTCAGTCTGTCAGGCAGGGGCCGAGGGGAGGAACCCTCAGGAAAGCCAAGGACTTGGAGGAGCAGGCTCTGGGCTCCAAGGCAGCCAAGAGGCCAAAGAAAACAGGGGCCAAAGAAACCCCACTATTGTTCCCGCTCTGCTCTGGCATTTCCTGCTGGAGCAGCTCCTCCCCTTCATCTCTCTCTTAAGCAAGTCTGTGTGTCCTTTCTTCCTCAGGTCCCAGGACCCTGCCCCCAGCGGAGCAGGGCAGCTGTATACTTCTGGCCCTGGGGCTCAGACTGGACCTCAACCCTGATGACCTCAGAGGGTCTGACAGGGGCCCTTGGGGGCCGGGCACCTTCGCTGCAGAACTTGCATCTAGTCTGCACTGTTCCACCTTCGCTCTTACCCACGTCCTCCAGGCATCACCTTCGCGAATCCCCAAGTCTCAAGCCCTATGTCTTGGAAGGAAAAGGACTCAGAAACGCTCACGGGAGACTGGGCCACCAGGGGAAGCCCCTACCTGAGAGTCTGAGCTCAGTCCTTTACTAACGTGTCCTCAGTACCTTGGGCTGCATTGGCTATTTCCACGCTGTAGAAGAAACAGCCCTTACTGGCAAATGAGCATTTATTGAGTACTTACTATCTGCTAGACAGACGAATGAGGGAAGGTAGGTAGAAGGCCATTCAAGGACTGGAGGGAGCCCTACCCAAAGGGCTTAGTCTAGCTGAAAGGCATTGCATATAGACCAAATCACAGCTTAAAGATACAAACAACATCAGAGCAACATTTGCAAGTGAAAAGTCATGGCACACGTAGGGACAGATGCTTCTGGGATCAGTGGTCAACCATGTCTTTCTCTCAGCTCAGAGCCTTCCTTCTCTCTCCCCATCCTGGGGATCTGGAGGTCTGTCCACCAGCCTCCATGTTGTCCTTTCTCTGTCCGGACTGGTGCATGTCTGACTCCTCTCTCTTCTATATGGTCTTTAAGGACAGAAACCAGCCATGTGTCCCTTCTAAGTTCTTCCCTACCCTGCTGGTACCCTGTCCAAGGTCCCATGCCCACCACAGGACAGTAGGCTAGGCTGGACAGGCCCAACCCTATGTTCTGTTTCTGCTAGGAGCTCCCAAAAGGAGCCTAGGACTTGCTTCTGTGGAAAGATCATGGAGTTTTTGCCCAAGAAGCTCAAGTCTTGGCTCTACCACGTACTAGCTGACTTTAGACTCAGCTTTGGTTTCTAAATCTATAAAATGGAGAGAATAGCATTGCTCTGCCTATCTCAGAGGGTTGGGAGTTAATCATAGGAAATGATAAGGGGGTGCTTTGGGCATAGTAAAACCTTGCATAACTGGGGTCGTTGACATTGCTTGACCTGTCCGTAGTTTGGGGAGGATTAGATGAGCGAATGCATGTAAGGGCCGGTAACTGGTACACAAGAGAGGTTCAGCTGTTGCCATCCCCACCACCGGGGATCCTGCTTCAACTGCCCCAATCACAGCCATGGGGCTGGAAGTGGTGGGGATCTCACATACAGTATCTGGAGAGGTGCAATCCAGCAAGTGAAACAGACACACAAACACATTCTTGGCACCTCTAGAACTTCGTTGGGATGAGGCAGGGTAGGGATAATGTGCCTAGGGCACATCCAGGCTGGGCTCACGGCTCAGTACTTTGCTGCCTTTGAACTTCAGAGCAAGGACACTCAGCTCCCAGGAGGACAGCCCTGGAGGTCACCTTGGTTCTGACTCCAGCTCTTCCTTAGCAGTGAGGCCAGGTGGCTGTCATTAGCTGTGACTCTCAGCGAGAGTCCTCTTCATTGCACCTTTGGTCCAGGGCTGCTCTTTCTGACCCCAAAGAGAGCTTTGGTCAAAGCAGACAGAACAGAGCATAGATGAGAGAGGACATAATTCCAGAGCTGCTCCTTATAGACAGCCCATCTTTGAAAGCCATGGAAAGGAGGAGGAGGCTAGAGATGGTGCCTGGTACACAGTGGGCACTGGGTACAGGGTAGGATAGACACGGAAGCCTTGGGAGCCGGGGATGATGACAGAGAAGGTCAAGAAGGCACTCAAGATGCGATTCTTAAGTTAGTTGTGCTGCAGGATAGAGAGGGAAGGAGATGGATGAGTCTGGGTGGTGGGGAGAATGAGGCGGGAGGACAGCCTGCACACGCTCAGGGTAAGGACAGGTTAAGAGGCCGGACCAGGCTGAGGCCAGCCCCAAACCCACCTCCTTCACCTGGGCCTTGGGGTGCCTGGGACTGACCCTCTTTTGCTTTGATCACCAACTAAAGGAAGTAAAAGAAGCTGAGGGTCAGGCGCCTTCTGCATTCTTCCCCCGGGAAGCTGAAATAATGAAACGATCCTAATAATGCATGATGATGGTATTAAGAATTACAGTTCACACAGCATCTTTACATGCATCATCTCACTTAATCCCTTTTAATCTCATTTGAGAAGGCTCTGGCCTGGAGATTTAGAAACTGGGGTTCTAGAGTGGACCTGGCTCTGCCTGGACAAGTCATTTTCCTGGTCCCAAGAACAGCAGGCGGCTCTGCTCATAACAACTGGCCATTGGTGAGAGCCAGAAGGCGTGGGGGGAGCATAGGCTGGGGAAAGAGAGCGGGGGACAGACATTCCTGGGGAGGAGGGCCTGCTGCCTGAGGCAGGAGGTGAGGGCAGGATGGGTGATGGAGGGGTGTTGCCTGGTGCCCGTGGTTTCGAGCCTGAGTGCCTTGCCCAGCCAGCCATAGGTGTGTGCTGGGTGAGAAGGCGCACTTGCGAAACCAAGTGTCTCCTTTCAGAAGTGTCTAGTTGCAAATCTCCCCCTTTCCCAAGACAAAGGCCAGGGGCCCACAAAAGGCTTTTGTTTTCCCTGCGGAATCAGAGGCTAATCTTTGGGTCTGCCCCCCTCCAAGGGGGTCTTATGCACATACACACATGCCTGATTCCCCCTCTGCAGAGGTCCTCTTTCAGGGCACCAGTCCTCTTTTCCTCCAGAGGCCATTTCTAGGGGAGTTTTTGTTTGGTTGACACGTCTCTGCACCCAGCAATGGGTCCTGGCAAGTCTCAGGTCCCAGTGCCACAGCTTAGGGAATTTTCCAGGCGGGGCTGGGGAGAAGTTGGAAATCAGGACCCTCCCTTCAGCTCTTCCAAAGTGGCCTTCTGATGCTCCCCTTCCTCTTCCCGGGATGACTCCCAGGGAGCACTCCTCCGGAAGGCGGCAGGTGGATTTATTGCAGGTGGGTGGAGGGGCTCAAAGGGAATGTGAGCCACTTGCACCACCATAGGCACGCCTGTTGACACTCAGACGTGCACGGCTCTGCACTTGAGAACAGAGGCACTCTGGAACGAACACACACTCCAACACCAGCGTGCCCTGGGGGCGGGGTCTGCTCACTCCAGCCCCGAACCTGGGCGCAGGCTCTCCAGAGCTTTCCTCTTCCCGCAATCCTGCTCCCCACCTCAGCTTGGTCTCCAACTCCCCAGCAAGGGGTCAGAGGGTCAACACTCGCTGCCAACAGCCTCAGGGCAGGGCATCGGCCGGGCACTCGGCTACCCCGCCCGCCGCCCTCGGCTCACAGCGCTGGCGTGGGCTGAGCAGTGCTGGAAGCAGCTTCTCTGCACTGGGGGCCAACTTAGGAGTCGGGGGAGAGAGGGGACCGAGTGGGCCCTTCCGCCTCGGGCCGGCCCGACCGGGCGAGGGTGGCGGGTTCCCCACAGGCGCGTGGTCCGGGGCGGTGGAGGGCCGAGCGGCGCTCAGGCCTTGCTGCCCCTAGGCAGGCTCTGCGGCGAGTGCAGCTCCACCGACTGCCCCCGCCGCACCTCGCGCTCCTCCCCGCCACCGTCCG